GCTGCCACCAGTGTGTGTGTGTGTGTGTGTGTGTCTTGACAAGAAATTTTTTTTTTCCGGATGTCAGTCTTGGCTGTGATGGGAAGGGTTTTTATTGGGTGAGAGATTTATTTTTTTTAGATGGTGCATATTGATGATAATCTTTTTTTTTAGAGTTTCGCTCGTATTGGATGAAGGGGTTCTTGTGTGAGACTCAGTTAATTTGACACGTCAGTTTGATTGATTTCATCGTGGATAAAAAAATTATTTTCATTATAAAAAAATTTTAAAATAAACTTGACAAGAAAATTAGTTACAAGAGAGATTTCCAGGCTAATTTGAAAATAGGCCGTAGGTGAGTGTATCGTTTGGGTCCTTTAATGATGTAAACTGGGAATTTGATTAAAATTTGCATGGGTGCAAAATTGCTGTTGCATATTTTACCGAAATGGACAATGTTTTTAATTTAGTCTGAGGCCGTCTGATGAATGTAGAAACCTTTTCTGAAATACCGAAAAAGCAAAAATAATGTACAGTTCAAGTGTTCGACCTCGAAATGTTGCCAATACTGTACATTATTTTATGATGAAATATATTTCATACTTTGATATAAGTTTGAAGTAATTCCCAAGACACGTCTTTTGGATTAACGTTTTTCTAAATTTGGTAAACTCGTCGTGTTTTGTTTGAAGAATGGTTTGCAACATTATTTCAAACTCGGGTATTAAGAAAACATGGTACTGTCAATAAAATCATAAGGTCTAACATAAAATTTATCGATGCGTTTCCCCCGAGTGTTTGCGTGACTCAATTTTTTATTTAACGACCCTCACTAAATTGTACATTCTTTGTTTCGATGTAGGCTTCGAGATAAAGAAAATTCAGGACTTCCGAATGGTTGATTAAAATAGAATCAAAACCCTGACACAGAATCTTTTGCGTATTCGCCGGGCAAAAAAAAATGAAAGAGGAGAATCAATTCACGCGAATTTCCGAGACACGAAAAATAATAATTTATGCAAAGCAACCGAACGCACAAAAAAAAACCGTGACAATGCACACTTCCGAACATTTCACTACTATCACCTCACATGGGCTCGATTATGACCGTCTCTTTTGCCCAGTGTTGTTTCTAGAACAATTGTTTCGTCTCTCTACCCACGTTCTTTCAACACATGCAAGAGTTAGCAAAAAAGTTACGTCACTATCTTTTTTTCCGGCCTAAACATCTTTCCTACTTTGGAAGTTTTATTTTGTCTAATTCTTTCAGAGGAAATTTAAACGAAAATCTGCGTCCGTTTATGGGGATGCCGAGCATTTATTGGAGCCAAGATTAACCAAAACCCATATTGAAAAAAGTCTTTGCATAGGTGACTGGAATTCAGGAACAAAATTTAGATTATATTCACAGTTCAAAGAAAGAACAAGTGTCAAAAGCGCGAGGCTTGAAATATCAGGAGTTTAGCGAGGCATGCGCATAAATTGCAAGACCACAAATGAGCAAGAAGAATTAAATGTTTTAGGCAATTGTATTAAAAGCTGGAGCTATAACGACCATTTGTGCACAAATCTGTAATTTTCATTTACGTGATTCAGATCTGTTGTTTGAATTGTTATTGTTTTGTTCTTTTGAATGCTTGATTTTATTTGACTCTAATGAAAACGTTCAATAAACATTATTTAAAAAGTAGGAAAAATATCCGAGGTAACCCCTTGAATATGTTTTCTCGGCCTCAAAAGGCTGATTGCCTGTTTTTTTCTTTCTTTTTTTATGATCCTTGGTCACAATGTAAATGCTTTAGATGTTCTGCAGGAAATGCTCAGAATTTGCAGTCGGAATTTCTCTTAAATTTTCCGCGAGAATTTTTTTTCATAATTTTCGGCGAGAAATATTTTCCGCCGTTGTGAGAAACATCCCAAACATTTTTTCAAAAATTCTTTTTAATTTGTGGTTTATTTGCAGTTGTGGCTCTCTAATTTGTTGGTCTTGCTTTTGAGGTTTCAACTTCGGAGAATTTTTTTTTTGGTTAATCGGAATGAATATAGTCGAGTCAGGAACTTTTTGTTGAAACCCTTGACAGAAGGGAAAATAAAAAGGAATTACCAGGCGTTTGTCCTTTTGATCCCCCTCTACTTGGAACTCGTTTGAGCCTCCCCATCAACTGCGAATCGCCGGTAGCATGAATATTTCCAGAGCTCACGAAATAAAGCATGACTCCAGCTTTCCACACGTTGTTATTCATGGGGCTTTGGACATCGACACTGTGTGTGCCACATTCGCACAAACGAACGGTACACGTGCCTTTTTTTGGCTCGGGTTAAAAAATAAAAAAAAAGACGAAGAAAAACTGACGCATTCTCTTTTTCTTTTTTTCGTAACTAACGAAGAAACGAGTTCTCATGGCGAAATCCCACGAGTTTCCACGGCCTTTGTTCCTTCGTTGAAACTGCAACTTTGCAGCCAAAGTGAACTTGAATGCATTTTACAATCAGCAAACACGAGGAAATATTTTCCTAGTAATGCACGGCGGACCTGAAACAAGTCATCGAATTTTCAAACGAGTTTAAAAATGCCTTCAAATCCGGAAATGCTGGGGATATAACTTTGAAATAAGCAACATTGAATGAACTTCCTCTCAATAAAAAAAATTTTGCATTATGTAAGAAAGAAAGTTCTTTAAATTTCAATAGAAATTAAACCATGAATCGAAGTCGAAGGAGATATTTTTTGCTAGGCCTTTATTTTGTCATTCATCTTTATATTGATAACTTGACGAGGTCAGGATGAGATACACTCACTGAAAAACCTGTCAATTTTTTTCCGTTCCACGTAAGTTACATAACAAAGGGAAAAATAATAATTGCTCAATTGCGTCGACGGCTTTCTGTGGCTTCTGTTTCCACTCTGAAAGTGCAAATTTTAGACGGAAAACTATTTCCAAGTCAGCAACATCAAGATCAGCTACAAAACAACCCGTCCAGAACCCTTTTTTTTTTCTCGTGACAATATCCATGGCAACAACAAAGAATAAATGCGAACGGCTCAATCAACAAAGCCCTAAAAGAGTTTTCGCGGCAAAACACGAAACTCAAACACAGTCAGACACCAAAAAATAAAAATTAAAAAAATAAAAGGTTCGGGTAAAATAACTCAAGCCACACGTCGTCACATGATGAATCGGCTGCCCAAACATTAACCGGCTCTCGGGGAAAAAAGCGCATAAGCAGGGGGAGAAAAAAAAAGAGAGACTTGACTTTCGGCACGCAGAAAAGAGCATTTTTTTGTTTCTTCTCTTCGTATTTTAGCAACGCAACAAACTAGCCACGTCTGCCGCAACTGTCTGAAACAAAACACACACACACAAAAAAAAAGCTGTTACAAGAGGGGGGGACGACGACAGACAACGTGCACAAAGAGAGGAGGGGGGGAACCTAACATGAAAACAGAAAAGAATTTCAACACGCGATCAGGACGTTAAAAAAGAAAAGGTTGGTCGGGAAAGACCCTGGGCCTTAATTACTCCCAAGCCCAATTTCTTGCTTTTTTTCCCCCCAAATATATTTTTAGATTATTTTTCTTTCATCCTTGTCCTGTGCACAGCGATGATGCGAATCCGGAACGATCTTCAGCCGAGGAAAACATTGAAAAATTTGAGCCAAACGCACGAAGGAGAGGATCACCGGTTTTTAGGGGATAAATGAAAAGTTCCGTTGAAGTAAACATTTGGTTCCGAAAGATGAAAGTGTCTTTGAAATGGTGTCAGTAAAAAATAGAGCGATTTTCAATAGAGTCGCCGTGACATTTTCAAGACCCAGGATCATTCTTGGTCAAATCGTCGGTATTTTCTACCTGTCTCTAATTTTGGTCACACAATAAAGTCCCAAAAAAAAGTGCTCGTACGTTTTTGTTATTCCTACGTGATAAAAATAAATTTGGCGCATAAACGGAACAAACTCATTATATCTGTTATTTTCGGACTTCCTTCATTTCATGAACGGCATTGACATCTGTCGGATGCTGCCAGCTATATGAAGCTGGATCCTGGATTCAAAGATATTCATTTCGTTTGTATAAGTTTGTTCGATACAATCGTCAGAAATATTTCGGCCCCTCCCTTTCCAAGTCATTGAAGAAAAATATGTCGCACGCGTTACGTAATCCAAAATCGATCGGCATTAGTCATATGCGGAGCGATGTACGAAAAATCAGACGGTTTTTATAAAAGTTTCATTTTTGAAACAAAATTCATTCGAAAAAAAGAGGCAAACCGCAATCCTCACGAATGTCCCTGCTTCTTTTTTTCAAAAAAGGTTTCCGAAAGAGGAAAAATTCCTTGTTTTGGTTCCTTAATGACAATGAATCGCACGAAAGATTTTATCGAAAAATCGCTAAAAAAAACTTTGGACGGATGTGAAAAAAAATAATATAATCTTCACGTATTCCTTCAGAAGTATCTCATGATTTTTGAAACCCCCAGCTTGAAAAAAATCTAGGCACAATAACCCACTGAAACCTCAAGGTGTTTCTTTTGACTTGGCCTAAAAATTACGCTACTCCAAAAATTGTGCATAAAATAAAATAAAACTTCAAATCCTGTTCTTCAGGGATGAAAATGGCACCGACGAAGGAAACTGTAGGGCAAATGAGCCGCCACAAAGAATTCGAAATAATAAAAAGCGCAATCCGCTGATGGGGAACTTGGCAAGAAGATTCACAGAGGAATCTTCAAAAGTGAAGAGAATTTTATTTCAAATGATAAAAGGTAATGGAAACTGAACAGAAGATGAATAATGCACAAAAATCGGGATTTTCAGCAAACAGTAATTGCACAAATGAAGTCTTCGAACACAACCGAACGCTTCGAAAGCTAGGGACGTAGTAATAATTCGTTTTTTTTTTCTTGCAAAAAGGACAAAATCTTTGTGTTGCGCAATTCTCGGCAGCGGGGACTTCCAAAAGAATTCCCCGCTGCGTCATTCCATTCTTTTGGGTTTTAATTCTTTTTTGACGCGAGTAGCATTTACATTTTCATGACGTACCCTCTGTGTCCCACAGAAACAACCCATGTTTCAGTCCGCTGCCAATTTGTAAAAAAAAAACAATTTTACATGATGGTTTGACGAATCTTTGGAAAATTGTCTCCAAAAATGAGTGCCAAAATAAAAGAATAAAAAAAATAAAAAAAGAGAGACTGACCTGAGTTTGTGTCAGCCCAAGGCTGGCAGCCAGTTCAGCCCTTTCGGGCAGGGCGAGGTACTGAGTGCGCTGAAACCGTCGGTTCAGCTGTTGCAGCTGCAAACTCGAGTAAATCGTTCGCGGTTTTCGCATCTTCTTCCCTTTTCCGTTCACTTGCCGCAACGTCGGCTCCGAAGAGTCCTTGCCTGTGACGATAAAAAATAAAATAAAATTGAATAAAACAACAAAATCAACAAATCCTGATTTAAAAATATATTAATAAATATACAGTACAGCCAAAAGCACGCAGCGACAAGAAATTGAGAAGGAGGTTCTATTTGTTCTCTATATGGATAGTCAATAAGATTCCACGAAGAAAAAAAATAGTGCAACGAAGCATGCAGCCAAGCATTTTGAAATGATGACGAAAAAAACAGCAACTATGAATCACGAAGTTTAAGTGGGGCTTTCGCAGACCCGCGAAATAATTTTTAATGGACGAACTCTTCAATAGAATTGTACAAAAAAATGTCCTCAAGTTCCTTTTTATAAAGAGAAACCTCAATCGAACACTCCGAAAAACATTCAAAAAATTGAAGACGCAGCAAATAAGCGGCAGGATATTTTTCCTGCGAATCGAATAAATTCCTAAAGTCGTTTTCTAATAACAAACACGTCTCTCAGAGGCGTTCTTTTTGTAATTAACACACAATTTTCGTTTCAGATATATTTTTGAAACTTTGTTTAAAGCCAGGAAAGCTTGGTAAGCTGCTTAGCTCCAACTTGAAATCATTTTTACCTCAGTATATGACTGCGACTTGCTTAATATTAGGTCGTGATGGGCAAAATTAAAGGACACATCACTGAAAGCTTCGAAAGACAAAAATCACAAAAACTCTAAAAGCATAACTGGTACAATAGACTATAAAAGTTCGGTCATGTAAAGTTATTCTTGCTCTTCCTATTAGTAATCAAAATCCAAGTTTATTTGTGCACTGGAAATGCGAGGGTATGACTTTTATTTCGGCTAACGTTTTCCAATATTTTTTACGAAATACCGTTGGAAATATCATCAATTTACGAACATTTCGTTGAAAGAATCCAGATTCTTCAACAAAATTTCAGGGGAAAAAGAAAAAGTCTTCACAAAAAGCCTTGATATTATTTTTAAAACAGACAAAATAATCGAATGGCTGTTCGTATAATCGTGCCAATACTTCGCGGATCTCTCGGCGATCTCGAAACTTATATTGCACAACATATTTAAAAAAAACAAGCTTGACTATAAAAAAAAAGAGCCAATAACAAGGACACCGAAATACATTCGAACACCAAGACAAAACTCGTGCGAAGCATCAACAAACAAGTGTATAGTGCCAAATGAAGGGATAACAAGCGTGAACCAGCCGCGGCTAATGACCAAGCGCATTCTACCGTATTTTTCATTCCTCCCGTTTCCTCTCTTATTTTTTGTATTATTATTTATCATTACAGTATTTGTTGTAGTGGTTGTTGAAATTTCTACGTATGCTCAGTCGAGTTTATATTCCTTTCGCTTCCAAAGTGGATTTAGGCGAGGAGAGCCAGCATAAAAAAATGAGAGAAAAGAGAGCAAAAGAACAGGCCGAAAACCCCCCCGGGGTGGGAGATTGATAGCCGAGCATAATGCGGAAGTCACAGGTGTAACAAGGCGAGGACTGGTAACGGATGCGCTGTTGATTTTTGTCATGTCCGGAACGAATGCCGCACATTCGAGCGTGAGTCCCAAGTCCGACGATTTTCGCCACGGGACAAGAATTAGATTAATTATCCCTATATGTATGTATGCCCCCCCCCC